CTTATGACCATTTGTCACACTTAGGATCCCCATGATCACATGATCAAAATTCAGACACTTGGCCACTGGCTCATACTTATGACCGTTGCTGTGTCCCAAGGTCATGTGATCCCCTTTTGCAACCTTCTGTCAAGCAAAATCAATGGGGAAGCCAGGTTCACTTAACAACCATGTTACTAACTTATCAACTGCAGTGATTCACTTAACAACTGTGGCAAGAAAGACCGTAAAATGGAGCAAAACTCACTTAACAAATGTTTCACTTAACAACAGAAATTTTGGGCTTAGTTGTGGTCATAAGTCGAGGACTACTTGTATAGTCTAGCAGACTGAAAAGAACCTAGAAGGTTTCAAACATTTCAGATGTTTCACTAGCAACCGTGGTTGACATCTTCAGAGGCATCTGAGCAAGGACTGACAGGGCTTCTGTTATATCCAAGGTCTGATTGAACTTTCAACTGTTATACCCAACATTTCCTCAGTACGTTAGTTAAAATTTATAGAACCTTTTCCTTGCTCAGTAACCTATTGAAGTAAGAATGAAAATAATTTCAACACATCTGGAGGGCATCAGGTTGGGGAAATCTGTCATAGATTAGCATTGTCCCAAATACTGAATCACTGATGAAGTCATAGCTGGTTCCTAGTTTCCTGTAAACCTTTCATGACAGTAATATGTCAACACGTATAATGGAGTTATTGGCTATTGTTCACTAATCTGACTCTGTTACAGCTTTAATGTCAGTAAAATTTTCAGTGCTGTTTTCTTCTATCCTGATACAATTGGCATGGTATCCTGACTAAAATTATAATATACTGAAATTCTAAAAGATGCATTTAGTATGTAATGTAAAAGATTTGTGTTTACTAATATTCAAATCTTGCCTGAATCCATAATTTTGGTTATCTATCATTGCTTTATGTTTGTTGTAACTTTTTACATACTAAAAAAAATTCATTTTCAACATCATTTTACCTCAGAATAGTTCTAATCCATTTAAAAGGCGAGGGGGAGCTGAGATAGATAGATAGATAGATAGATAGATAGATAGATAGATAGATAGATAGATAGATAGATGGATGCAGGTATTGAAGTGAATTATGTCTCTTTAGATAGCAGTTCAAGATTTTTAAAAAATGCTTTCCTATAGAAATATTTATGAGAAAACAATACAGTAATAGTACAAATAGCTCTGTACTAATATTTCACTTGCAGTCGCTTTTAACATAGGAAACAATAAAGCACTGTTAATTCCCTTCCTATAATATGTAGTATTGTTTACTGCACAACCTCAGCCATTACCTTAGTACTGTTGCAGACTTTGTTCCAAGGATAAGTAAATCCACATATCCTCAGTCATGCTTTTAAATAGTTTTTCTTAATTATCAAATAAATGTTTTTTTCTGAGTAAAGTAGTTTAAAACTTTTTCATATTTTAAAAGTAATGTTGGCAGCTACTGAGTAGTGATAAGTCTGAAAATATTATGGTTCTTTTTCCATTCATAAATTTAGGAAAATACTAGCTCAGAATATCAGATTAGAATTTGGTCAATGTTGTAATTAAAAGATTCTGAGACATAATAAAGAATCAGTTTGAGCTTGGCAATTTGTGCTGGATTATAATTTATATCACACTCACACACACATAAACACAGTGTATCACTTTACCAATCTATAAAATGGATAAGTAATTGTTTAAAAGGACTGAAAACTTTTCTTGGTTATTATGTCTGCGTTATAAGAGAAATCCATTGGAGATGATTTAATATATCTAGTACTGAGCATTTCCTAAAAGTAGACTAATTTGGAGACAATTGCATTAAATTTCATCTAGGAAAATCTGCAAATTATATTTTTAAGTGTGAAGAGTTTCCCTTACCTTCATAACTTTAATTCTATATCATTCAGTGCAGTGTAACTACTGGAGTAAAGGAGAATTGAACCACAAAACACTTTCAGATATTTCACACTTCAGATTTTAAAATGGAGTTAAGCCCATCACTATTATTTAGATAGGTCCCACAAGATGGGAAAATAGAGTGTGTCTACACAATCCAATGTATTTTTTAAATCATTTCATATTTTACAGAGCTAAGCTCTAACTCTGCAAAACATATCTCCACTTTGGATTTTTTGAATTTATTAGTTTTATTTCATCTTTATGTTGTTTGCATTTTAATCATTTCATATATATATTTTCATACATGCCAAGTGTCATCATAACATAATGAACATAAGTTCAATAAATTAATACCTGGCTTAGGGTTAGTCCTGCCTGTTGCATTTCAGTCTTTCATTTCTCTGGTGACAGACTTAATGGACCAAAGGAGAGAATCAAACAGGTCTCTAAGAAAAAAAATGGAAAAGATGTTACCACTTAACTCACAAAACAAACTATGCCAGTAACACGTCAGTCACACGTCTTGCCTTAGGGATTTGGTTTAAAGTAAACATGCTGCAATATTTGAAAAAGTCTTTCCTGATGATTATTTGGCTAGACTGACACAATAGACTGAAATTATGCAAATACTCAGTGTAATGCCCAGTATGTATGATAAGCTAAGAAAAACATGGAGTAAATTTATATAGTGTATGGTGCATTATAGTAGGCAAGAATTTGCAAACCAACGAGATAAAAGACTTGAGTCCTAATCATTTTTCAGTTGGATGACCTTTGTTGTTTCTCCATACTGTGTGAATACAATTTCCATCACAGCAATGCTGAGGCCAAAAAAGATTACAGGAACTGGCCAGCCAGTTATGCACAAATCAGTCATGCTGATTTAGGAGAGACTGAATGATGTTCTTAACCCTCTCCTTTACTGAAGTCAACAATACCTTAAAAGCACTTATCTTTGGAGTGTATCCAAAGATGGTAAAATGCTTTCCTTATTTAATGCCCTGGACAGATCATTAGTAATGATAATAGTAGCAGCGGATAAAAAGCAGGGCATTGGAAGTTTTAAAAGCCAGCATAGTGAGCTTGGTTCAGCTAAGGGCAGGAACTGACCAGAACGGGTAGAATAGTAATGGAGGCAGTTGGTCAATGCAGATTTATCTCTTAATTCTGACTGCTCTCAAAACGCAGAGCTGCTGTGCGCAGGCAATGCCTATAAATTAGAAATTCTGCTTTGTCCCTGGACTTTGAACAGCAAGGCCAAACTCCCATGGCCATGTGCTAGTCAGGAACAGAGGTAATTGCCAAAGGGGAACAAGGAATGTAAAGCTGCTGGTTAGGGGGCTTATTCAGGCATACCAGCTGCCAAAGGTAGCCACCTGCCCTTTTACTGCTCTGTGGAAGCCACCAATGGGTGAGAGAGAGAAAGACAAAGAAAAACCTGGTGTCATTTCACACCTGTAGCTCCCAGGCATCCCTAAAGTCCCATAAAGTCGTCTTCTAAATCAGGGGTCTCCAACCTTGGCAACTTTAAGCCTGGCGGACTTCAACTCCCTGAATTCCCCAGCCAGCTTCGCTGGTTGGAGACCCCTGTTCTAAATAATCTCTCTCCCACGAATGCCTTGCAGACAATATTGCTTCGCTGGCTGGGGAATTCTGGGAGTTGAAATCCGCCAGGCTTTAAGTTGCCAAGGTTGGAGACCCCTGTTTTAAATAGTCTCTCTTCCACGAGTGCCTTGCAGACAGTATTGCTACTACGAGCGCTCGGCTGTAGCTGTAACTCGATAGTGTTAGCCCTGGGGGTGGGGGGGAGAACGGTTTTCTATCTCGGGCATTAAAGCAATATAAAGAAAAGGCGCGACAAGCCTCAATGCGCTCTTGAATGCGGCCAAGTCTCACGCCAAGCGCTAAAGCCGAGGGCCTGGGGCGTTGTTTACACGGGGCCCGGTGCCGAAACAAAGCGCAACGGCCCCGGTTCTAGTTCTATCCGATCTCCAGGGTCCCGAGGCGGAGGGTCCTCCCTCCCGCGGTTTTCCCTCAGCTCCGTGCAGGTGGTAGCCGTAGCTGGAGCTCTCCGCTCGTCCTGCAGAGCAGCGCCCAGCCTTAAACGCCGCCCTGGAGGAGGCGGAGTGGAGCAAGTCCCCAAACTCCTTGCCGAGTTTTCTTTTTCTCTCTCTCTCCCCCCCCCTTCCCTCTTTACAGCTGCACACACGCAACCCCCTCTTCGCCAAAACTCTCGGCGACGCCTGTTCAAAGGCTGAAAGCGCCACGGCGCTGTTCTCCTCCTCCCCTCAGTAGAAAACACCAAACAATAAGGAGGAGTTGGGGGTGGACGAAGAGCGAGCTGGTGTTTTAATTAAGATTCTCAGGGCAGGGGAAGGGGGAAAAAAAGAGGTTTCTCTGCGAGGAAGGAAGGAAGGAAATCGGGAGGGTTGGAGGAACGGAGGCGCTTCCCTTGGAGCTGTTAGCCTCAAGAGTTTCAGCTTTGCCGCTGCCTCTGCTACGCAGAGAGAAGTTGAGCAAACAGGAAACGTGGTGGCTTGCACACACGGCAGCCGCAGCTCTGATTCATTGGGGCTTGAAGCTCGCCCGAAGGAGGACGGAGAGGAGGAGGAGGAGGAGGAGGCTGCCTCCAGCCCCGGGGAGGAGAGCGGTTGGCCGGCTGCGTGTCGCCTAAAAGCCTCTTCCTTTGCCAGAGAGCAGAGTCCCAGCTCGCCCGAGTGGCACGATTCTTGCCCGTCTCACGCGCTCCGTGAGAGTGGAGGGACTCGCGCTCCGAGAGAGAGAACCGGCCGCGCTTCTATTCCCTCTGAGCAGCGCCGCAGAGAGCGCTCGCCCGCCCGCCCGCCGGCCGAGTGTCGTTACTGGAGTTGATAAAAGAAAAGGCTGGAGCGACTTCTGTTTTTGCGTCATTCCCGCCGGAGACCAGAGCCCGCCTTTTCTCCTTCTTGCTCGGGCATAGCAATATGAAGGAGCAGAACTCATGTGTGGGCACCGGGCATCCCCCCATGGCTGGGTATGGCAGGATGGACCCGCTGGAGCTTGCTGTTAGCCCCGTGAAACGCTTGCGAACTGAGTACTCCTTTCCCTATCTCTTCGCAGAGGAGGCCTACCAAAAACTGGCCAGCGAGACCCTGGAGGAGCTGGACTGGTGCCTGGACCAGCTGGAAACCTTGCAGACCAGGCACTCCGTCAGTGAAATGGCCTCGAATAAGGTAGGACCCCCCCCCCCGTGTTTCCATCTATCGACCCCATCACATCCCATCCCGCCTGTTCAGTTCTTCTGTGCCTTGCTTTGTTTTCCCGGCCAAACCTGACGATTCAGAAGGAAAAGGTACATCTATCTCAGCTTTGAGAAAAGCCGGCAGTTTTTGCGCAACAAGGTTTCTTGCTTAAATTGTGTGTGCAACAGAATAGCGTTGCTCCGGTATCGTGATCTCTTACCTGAGATAAGTTCATCAGATCTGGATGAGAAAAAGCTCCTTCCGTCTGCTATCCTGACAGCAATTGTTATCCACTTCTGCACCTTCCCCTGTAAAGGATGCGTAAAATTGGGCTGAAACTGATTTCTTACCTCCTGGTAAGAGGTATCATCCCATTTTATGCCTAGTTGCTTGGAAGCAAATTCAGTTGAAACTCCATAAAGAATTGATCCTAGGTAAGCACATATCAGAATGCAAAACTTTGCAGCAATCCTAGTTGTATTAAACACTAGGATGTGACACTAGTTATGGATGAATTAGAGAGCAAACTTGAAAAGCAGTGCAGATTTTGAAACTGTCATTTTGTCCACGACAGTTTGTCCTGCAAAGTAAGAGAGAAAGAAGATCAGCTTGGGCGGGTGGTCAAAATAAATTTTACTAAAATCTAAAATTTCGTATGCCATTTAAAGGTTGTGCAAAAATTCTTTTCTGTGTGCTGCCAATTTAAAAGCAAAAAAGACAAATGGCGTGTATGGTTTTGCAACCTTTATATATAAAAAGGCCATACATTTGCATTGTAAATGTCAGTGTAACTTAATACGTAGAGGGGAGATGATCATACTTTTTGTAAATCCCCTGTAACAGAATAAAGCAAGAAAAGCCATGTGTCCACTGGACACACATTGGTATACATTGAACATACATGTCTTTTAGATAGATGACAGATGAAATAAGTTGTTTCTGTAGCTTTTGCACTTGGAAAGGCAACAGTAAATGTGCTGATTTGGAAGGAAAGAAGTTCCATTGATTTCCCTGGAGCTTAAGTTTAGGAGATTTGTTTCTAATTTAAGATGTTAAAGATCTTAAAGATGTTAAAAATATAAATCAATTTACAACTTATGATGATGTTGAACCATCCCAGAGAGACTTTTCCCTGCATGTCCACTCAGTACTCAGAGTGCTAGAAAATACCCACTGCCACCTCTGTTTAGATGGCAACTTTCTGTTATATTAAAATGCTTTAGCATTTCAAGAGGTAGTGGATGTCACCTATTTTGCATTAATCTCCTGGTTGTGTTTTAGTTTATCTTTTTATGCCTGTTTGTCAGATCACATCTAATTAGAGGATCAAGCACTACTCTTTAATACTAAGAACGTAATGTAAATAGTCATGATAATTTCTCTCTGTACTTCTGGCCATTTAACTACTGGATTCTGTTAATTACAGTTGTACCAAATTCTTGCATGGCAAACTTTCAGGTTGCTTTGATTCTGCATTTACTTAGATCAATTGTATGATAGCAATTTTTGATTTTTCAGACAATATACATTTTTTACTGAATCACCGCACTTTGGTTAATGTTCCTCTATAACACATATATTTCCGAGAAGGCACTTTTTTGCATTTATTACTTTACATTTTTAGGGAAATATTTATAATTTGCTTAAAAACAAAATTTATGAAGTGGTCTTGAATATCACTAATGTTCACATCTGAAAAACGATTTTTTGCAAGTAAAAATACAGTACAAATAGCACAACATTTTGTGTATGCACACTAAGTGCAAGAATATGTGAACAACTGGTCTAATTTTAGTTGCCTCTGCCCTTTAGCCATTAGTAGTTGACTGTTTCTTATATTTGTGTTACATCTCTTATAATGTAATAAGCTTAATTAAGTATTTAAGGATAGTAAGTAGGTTTTTTTTGTTGTATGTGGTAAGGTTGTTTCCTAAGCTTTTTTCAAGTTTTGCTAGCTTTAATTTTTTTGAAAATATTCTAGGAACAAAAAAAAAAAAATACCCTAAATATAATATAACAAACTTTTATGGACAGCAGACTACTTTAGCTAGATATTTTGCTTTTCCTTTAGTTGGTGGACTAAAATTTTTATCTATCATAATATTAGAGTGGCACTGGAATTATGATTGTAAATAATATTTGAAGACTCTTTAATGGTGCTAAGTAAAAGAAACATTCCATAAAGGATCCATTTTTCCCGTCCGCTTCATAAATAGCATCATCCAGCCAAGGTTTTCCATAAGAATACAATGAGCTGAGTTGCCATAGTCACTTTGAAGGTCAGATTGAATGATGCCATCCTTTACATCAGCAGTGAAAATTTACACTGCGGGCACACAATGGTTGGTTTTATCTTATCCTTAAAATAAGAATGTCTCTGTTTTAATTTCTTCGTTACTAATTAAATTCTGTGTGCCATGTACCCTAGTTAGCAGTCCTTTGTATACTAACTTTCAGCTATATTTTACTTTACGTTGTACTGACTTGTGTTTCAAGACTGTAGCCAAAAATGAGCTCAGGAAGCCTCTGCGCCAGTGCTGGTGACTGCAGGGTTTCTTTGACGTTGTACAATCCAAGTAGATGTTATTGGGGATGAACACTAATTTTTAAAACTGATTTCTGCCATATATATATATTTAAATAGATCTCCTTGCTCAAAGGTTTTTTGTTTTCTTTGTATACCAAAGAGTACTGCCACAAAGTTTCTTTCCAAGATATATAGGGTAGATAAAGATGCTTGTTCCAAATAATCCTAAGTAGGCGTTTTGTGTTCCCAGGAACAATGCTGTACATGGTTTATTCACACTGTGTGACATAGTACATTGTCATAAATGCATACGTATTCACGCACATGTAAATCAGAAACTTTCAGATATCTTTTAATCATCAAAGTAACAAGAGTGCTTTTGAGTTGTAAAACAAAGCCATGTAAATGCAATTAACATCTAAGTAGCTAACTAGGGTTATTTTGATAAATCCTCCCTTCTGAAGAAATTATCTTCTAGCCTTAATTCTCAGTCTTGGCTGGTTTCATAAGTGGAGATTTAGTTGAGTGTTTGACTGGCTCTAGGGCAGAAAAGCTTGCATAGGGGAGAGGATTGCTGTAATCTATTGACGTCAGTTTATTAAGTATAAGCCGGGTTTCCTTCCAGCCTTTTAACCTACTTGAAGAAATCACAAAATAGTAAATGGACAGACAGTGCATTACAACGCCTGTTTTCCCTTAGTTTTAACCCAGCTGAGTCTATCCAGCCGTGCCATAGTGTTGATGTAATTTATTGGGTAGGGACTGTCAGTATTTAGCAATTTGCATGTGTAATGCCCAGATGTACTGTAAAGTAATAGTACTAACGTATTAAGGGGACAATTGTCATGCATATCCATACATTCCTTCCTTTAACATTCAAAAACGATATGCCTATAAATAATATTCATACCTAACGATGAAGAATTGTGTTATAGTTGCAAGGAAGACATTGTATGTACAAGTAATCCTCGACTTATGACCACAATTGAGCTCCAAATTTTTTGTTGCTAAGTGAGATATTTGCTGAGTGAATTTTGCCCCATTTTATAGCCTTTCTTGTTGTTAAGTGAATCACTGCAGTTGTCAAGTTAGTGACATAGTTTTTAACTGAGTTTGCTTCCCCATTGACTTTGCTTGTCGGAATTTTGATCATGTGACAATGGGATTGCTGCAATGGTCATAAGACACTTCTTTCAATGCTGTTGTAAATTTGAATGGTCACTAAACGAACTGTTGTAAATTGAGGATTACCTGTACTCCTAGAAACAATAAACATTCTATAAAGTTAGAACTCCTTTGACACTATGTTTTTTAAACTTTATTAGTCCGCTTGGTATGTCTGATATTCCATAAAAGCAAGATTTAATTAGTGCAGTACACTGACTTTATATCAATTAAACAATCATGCTTAACTGTCTTTTTGATAATTTAACTATAAATGAGAAAAACCTTGCAAATTCATATGTTTATAGGCCTATAGGTAGTCCTCAAATTATGACCAATTTAGGATCGGACTTTCTGTCACATGTCATTGTGGTTGTAACTTGAGTTGAACCCAACTTTACCATTTTTAGGCCAACTGCAGCTATTAAGGAAACCCCGCAGTCATAAATGTGAACCAATTCTTCTGAATGGGCATTTTTTTTTTTTGCATGGAAATGGGCAAAAAAGTTCACAAATTACAATCAAATTACTGCAGGACATTTCAACTGGTCACAAATGCAAGCCGGTTGCCAAGTGTCTGAATTGCAATCATGTGACCATGGGAATTGTGCAGTAGTCATAAGGCAACGACCAGAATTATTTCAGCACCATTGTAACTTTGAACTTTTTGTTTAAAAAAAGCCCGTAAATCGAAGATGACCCATAACTTCACATTTGGCTTTTTCATAGCAGAACATACCTGTTCTATCACTTTAGTATATTAATAGACTAATATACAAATTTTTAGTATATCTGTCATTCTCAAGGCAGAAATATCTGTGGGGAAGGTGGGGGGAGGCTAAATGTCAGCTGCCTCCATCCTGTAGATCCTTGTGTCCCATAGTTATCTTTTCTCATCCAAACTGAAGTACTAACTATATATATATACCCTAGTAAAATCCTCCTTGCCACTGTATGCTGGCAATAAGATTACTTAACAGGATTTAAGAGATTCATATTCATTTCAAAAAGCAATACTCTATTCAATACAATATTCAAGAAGTAATAGAGGAGAGATGGGGAAAGTTATAGAGGAACTGGTAGACAACAACTTGTGATAATGTCATAGTCAGATCCATGTTTCAGGCATGTGAAAAGGAGTTCTTGTCCATATCTGCATTGACAAGAATCCGAGCTAGAGGCAATTTATATGAAAATATTCTTTCAGTAAGGGTTTCCTCCTCAAAGATTTTAACTACTGCTTTTTCATTGGAACGGAAAGGAAGTTAAAGAGATGTACATATGCTAGAGGAAGGAGAAG